ACATCAAATGGTACATGCAGTTATACTATAGCAATATACTATAGTCGGTTAGTACGGCAATATCTTGAACTCCGCGTTCAATAGTAAAATTATCAAAATTACTTACGAAACTTCAATTCAGTTCAACATAAAAATTCAACAAAAATACTTAACATTTTTTGCACATCCATACGTAACTGAATTTCTTAAGAAACACAAATTTTCGTTATCGCATTTAAATTGTACTAATTGACTCTTGTCGGAATAGAGTTCCACTAACTGCCATTGCATTTTATAAGTTCATAGTGTAAAAATAGAATATTATGTAAATAAAATTATCGTGTCAACTCTAAACCCTTTATAATGAAACTCAACTACAACTTTTTGATATAATGGCCTTATTATATACTCTTACACTTACTCGTCAGCGATTCTTGGTATATTTATATAAACTGTTATTCTGTTGAAACATAAATGAAATGGATTAGTGAACTGCTGCTTTCAAATTAGCTATTTGATATAGCACGGCAAAATTTGGTGAGCTCTAAAAAGTTTTGGTTATGCATTTTTGAATTTAAGGAATTTAGTAATGAACTATCATTGAAGTCATATAGCCAACAATTATTAAAACACTCATTATAACTCGTAATTGTAGCCTCGTTATAGTTTCTCAACTTAAATAAATTATAGTTTTTGATTGCAGATCACTAGAGCGGACAAATGGACAGGAAGACATAGTTAAAACGACTCAAAATTGAATACGTATACTAAACAAAAATTTATACACACGTACTTTTATGTCTACATCTCAAACTTTTGTTTTACAATGTTACTAACGGCATACCAAATTTATAACGGCTTACGAACGAAATTTTTAACAGTAATATTTTAACGTCTTGATTACGTTTTATAAAATAATTTTGCTTTAATTACATTTCATAATTGCATTTTATTAAACTACCCAATAAATTTCTTGTACCTCCAATATGAAGTCTGGCAATTAAGCATAATAAACTCTTGAGTTTTTTAAAATTGATTACGAAACTAAAACAACATATCAAGTTACAATCAATAATTTTGTACAATAAAAATTAATAACATTCAGCATTTTCACTACTTTTTTATATACCGGGAAAGTGGTTATTATATTGGGACAGTGCAAATTTCATTATTTTCAAAATGACCATACCTTTAAGATGTCTGAAATAATTACGCGTCTAGCTAATAATCGTTGTAAAGATTTTAAAATAATCTCAATTAAATGTTATGGAATCTAATTAGCATTGAATGACAATGTATGGTTAAATATGTTATGTGTATACCTATTATATATATACAAGTATTATAATGTGTAAATCGTCACATCTAAAAATTGTATGACATTGAAATTTATATTTTATTCTCTTAAAGCTTTAAATTAGTTTTTCTTAATTAACTAAAGCTCAACAAGCATAATTATACACAATATATATATATATATATATATATGTACACATTCATTTATGATAATATAGTTCAACACACAATATGACTCATTCATAATTAATTTATAATGAATAAATTTAAAATATTTTACCAAATAAGTGGAGCTTGTCCAAAATAAAAACATCTTTTTTAACTCCAAGTTTCAAAACAATGAGATTCTTTTTTTATACGGCGTAATTTAAAAATAAAAGAAAAAAAAAACTGATGTGAACAGAACATTACCGACCACATTGTATGTTACACAAAAATAATATTATAAGAAAACGAGAAAAAATAGAGTTGTGCCAGTAAATATGCCATAATTGACGATGGGACAAACTATGACTTTAATTTGCCATGTTACTATATTAATTTATGCAAAATTTCAGTACTGGGTTTTCAATATTTTCTTAGATATGACCAAACTACTATTGAAAATGTATGGAGGCTACCAGAACGAACCAAGCAATTTTAACGATTTTTGTTAGACCTAGTAATATATTCGCTTGTGTGAAATTTCAATACCACAGCTTTCATTATGTTTCTACAATATAGCCAAATAAATTTTGAAGTTGTTTGGCAGCTACCCGAATCAGTATCCCGATCATATCCAATTTAAATAGGATACCGGCATTTACTATAATAAATAATTTGTAAAAATTTGGTGAATTTAGATCAATTAGTTTTTGAGTTATCTTTGGAACGAATGGACAGACAAAACTAAATCAACTCAGAATTCGACGCTGATCAAAAACATACACTATATCTCAAATCATTATTTATTAGAATTAACATACAAACGGTAAGGCAAAGTAAGTATACCCTTCTAATATACGTTTGTACGGGGTATAAAGAGTTGGTCGATGAACGGTTTATATGTAATTATTTTAATTTGAAATTTCAAGGTTTTCAGGCCAGTAATCTGATTTTCACGAAAAATTTACTGAAATTAATTTGAATATAAAAATTTCCAAAAAATTAGTTAATACTAAACCTATCAACAACGGCTCTAATTACCCATTTTAAATTATTTATCAAAATTTCTCACATCTGACATTATTACTTCGTCATTATGTGTGATGTCCAAATTATGTCGGAAGTGTACGCATACGTATTTTTCAATATTTACTCATTTGATCGACATTAGTATCGAATAGTTCTAACTATTGTTTTGAATATTTTGGTAAAAATAGTTTCTTCCCACTTCTCTAACGCTTTAAAAACGTGACATTTGAAATTTGGTGCGATTACAATACCTTACCTATTGTTAATAAATTCTTTCAATTGTAATGAGATCAATAAAATTTTTTTAACAAATTAAGAAATCACAACTTTTCACAATAATTATTAAATTTGTTACATGACTAGAATGATTAATTTTTATACAAATATAAGTATGAAATATTTAAAAATATTTTTGAAAACAATAAATATATATGTACAAATATAAATATTATCTTTAATGACTTGCCACTATTTCGAGTATCCGATTCAATAATTAAAATGATTATATTTACAATAGAGGCTTTGTCACTAAAGTATAAAGTTTTTGATAAGGAAAAGTTCAAAGATAAAATAATTGAAGGACCAATTCTAATTATTGATTTACAGTAATAACACTTATTCAAAAATTGCATATAAATTCTTCTTACTACGAAATTTTTTTCAGTGCATTTGAGAGGGAACTGTAAGAGTTTTTAAAATACAAAAATTTTAACTGATTGTTCTTTGAGCTAAAATAATTCCTTTGAATTGTCGGTCTCATATACAACACTAACAACATAGTACGAGTATCTTTAAATTTTTATAATAAAATGCTTTCTTTTTATGAAATATAAGATAAAGTCGAGCTAAACTTAACTTGGGTCTAAAATTTTAATTAGTACTATAATTTATATAGACTCTTTCATATATTTTTGGTACTGAACAAATTGCTAAATTATGGTTTAATTAAAATGAAATTAAATTTATTTGAAGAGCTTTTTATATTAAAAAGAAAAACTGAAAAAGCTATTGGATAATTTTTATGTCATTACATCATTCTTAATAATTTATTTTGAAATTCATTAATTTATTGAATTTTTATTCAGCTTATGAAAATTCCAAATTTTTACTAACTATTTATAAATTATTTTGAGCAAATAATTGAACGACTTTTTAAATTCCATAAGACTCCGTAATATTAGAGTAAAATATCTTTTGAATAAATTTCATTCTACCAACTCTATATAGAATTAAATACATTGTAAAGCTATATTAAAGTGTTGGAGGAATATATCATTGCAAATATACTTCAAAAGGTATGCAGAATAATATAAAACAATAAAATTAAACTATAAATAACAACATTCAATTGAGCTCTTAATTTTAAGTAATCTTATTTGGCACGTGGCAAAATTTTAAAACTATAAAGTTAAATTTTTGTCAAAAAAAAAAATGTTATCTCCTCCCATAGATTACTCTTTTATTAATTTTATAATTTATTAGAGTGTTATTTACATTCATTTATATTAAAACTTATCGCATACTTATTGATTAGGCAATGACGTTAATTTTGACCAAAATATAAAATTAAATAAAAATTTAAGGAAGGTTATCATTCAAAACCTCTTAAAATTTAAATTTTCTTAACCTTAAATTTACAACTTTTTAATTGCATTAAAAATTATTATTTGAAATTTTACGTTAATTTAAATTTAGGCATAGTTATAAATATGATAAGTTTAGAAAGAATCTTGTATATTTCTTTAAAGCAGAGTTTTTCAACATTTGTGTCGGTTTCTTATAAATACACTTATATTTTGTGCTATAAAATAATCAAAATTATTACAATAGTAGCTGCATAATGTAAAAGAATCTCTAGACATATAGTCGCCTTAATATTCTTTGTAAAAAAAACCAGCCGAAGTAGTCTTAGGTATGTAAGGTTAGGTTGGCGTGATTACCGTAAGACACACATAGACCAGAATGGCCCGTTTTGATACCGCTAGATCTACAAAATTCATCACCCTCATGAATCTGACAATGGTCCCTTTTAAAATTTCAGAGGTAATTCTACAAAAACGTGTTAAATTTAATACATGCATATTATATATTGATATTAAATTGCTTTTAATAAAATTTTGACAAACGCACGAATTATCTTAAATTTTTAATAATGAAATCGTGAGTTTTCTAAAAAATATACATACGCACCATGTCACGAAATCAATCACATACGGAGCTAAATCGGAAGTAAGTTCTTAAAAAAAAGGTGTCCGAATGCCAAGAACCTGAAAACTAACAAAGAAGCATTTTCAACAGCGCCGGCAGTATTATTTAATTTATAAGTTTAAAATAATATTATGTATGTGAGTACATTTCAAGTGCAATACGCTCAGGAGCCTTCGTTACTCTCACCACCTGTATATTAATTTAAGTTTTTTATATAGTTAGAATGTTATTAAGACCTTAAAAATAGCTTAATTAAGCCTTCTTAGATTTTCTTTTGAATTTTTAAATAATCTTAAAATTTTATATAACACTCAATGATACGAAAATTTAAAAGATCATGCTGATAAAATTGAAAAAAATTTAATATTGTTTTATTTGGAAAAAAATAAAATATCTGTAACAATTTAATTAAATTGAAATTTTTTGTCTAGGTGTTAATTTTAACCAAAAACCTTTTTTAGGTTTTAATTGAAAACCAACTTCATCCAATATCAATGGTATACTTGTCTTTTTACCAACATCAAAAGTAAATTCTGATAATAAATAATATAGAGCAGCTTTACATTCCATAAGAGCAAACCGATTACCTAATTATAAACAAAAATTATAAAAAATAAAAAAAATTATAATTTTTAAATTTAAAACAATGATATACTAACCAATACAATTTCTTGGACCAACACCAAATGGTAAATAAGTATACGGTTTAATATTTGATTTATTTTCATCACTAAATCTTTCTGGATCAAATTTTTCTGGATCAGGGAAATTTTCTGGATCATAATGTAATCCTGATATATTTACCCAACAAACATCATTAATATCTAATTCTAATTTACGATCATCATATTTTAATACATATGGTTTAACACAGACACGATCAGTTGCCAATGCACCAGGCCATTTTCTTAATGTTTCTGATACAACCATATCTAAATATTTCATTTTATTTAATGTTTCATATGAAATTGATTCACCATTTAATTGTTCTCGAACATCATCAATTTCTTCAATTAATTTTTCTTGTATATCACGATTTTCCATTAATTCATGTGCTGCAAAACACATAGCATTCGATGATGTTTCAAAACCAGCCAAAAAGAATATAAAACATTGTGCAACAATTTCATCATCATTCCATTCACGATTATGTGATTTTTCTGGATTTTTACGTGCTTCCATTAACATATTTATCATATCTGGTCTAATAATACCATTTACTTCACGATATTTCATTGCATCAATTACTAATCTTCTAAAATATTCAGATTGTTCTGGATCAAAAAGTTTCATTCTTAAGAACTACATATAAAAATATAAAAAATTATAATGGAATTTAATATTTTTTTTAATTTTATATTTACCCTCATTGCAGCTTTAAAATTACTAAATAAAAAGAATTTTAACATAACCCAACCAGTAAAATTTGTAATTTTTCTACCCATCCGATAAAATTCATTTTCTTTATCATTTAATGAATTCACTTTAATACCAAATGCACTTGTTGCAATAACATCATTTGTAAAACGTGTAAAGAAATCTTTCATTTCCAATTCAATTTCATTTGGATTATTTTTTAATGATTCTTTTTTCAAATAATTTACTGAATCTTCACAGCATTCTTTAACAAATTCAAACATAACACGCATTTTATTACCAGTAAATGCTGGCGTTAATGTTGATCTCATATCTTTCCATTTTGAATCAAGCATATTAAATAAACTATTCCCAAATAATGGATCATCATGTTCTGATAATATTTGACGATGATTAACAAAATGATCAAAATCTTTTACTGTAATCTGTTTAATTAGATCTGGATCACGAATTGATATTATTGGATTACGAACTTCGAAAATACCATAAACTCTGAAAAATTTTTCAAAATAAACAAATTGAAATATAAAATTATTTACATATTGTCTAGTCATGTTTTAATTAAAAAACAAGAAAATCTTAATATTAATTTTAAAATATAAATAATTCCAAAATTCCAAAAATTATTAACTAAAATAAAATTTTATAAAACATACATAATTCTAATTCTAACTAACATTCTAAAAGAATTTTTGTTGGTCACTCACTCGTTTGGTCATGAGTAATTAACTTGTTATTAAAAATATCAAAAATAAATTATTTTAAATCTTGTATTTTATTAATGTTATTTGTATGGGCGAGTATTCGCATAAAATTTTAGCTTTTAAACAAGTATTATGTCCAGTCTAGACTCTAGAATGAAAGATATAAATAAAGATAGAACAAACGATATACTTATATATACATAATTATACTGTTGCCAGAAGTAGTGCTTTGATGCCAAATTATTCAAGAGATTAATGAGAACTTATAGAATACAATAATTTTTGCTTATCAATTTCAGTAACTCTGGTGAGAATCTTGTTATTTGTCACATAATAATATAAAAACTCAACAAGGTTTTGTAAATAATAAAAACAAATTTTCGAAAAGTAAATGAATAGATGAAAAACACAATTTTATTAAATGACCTCACGCATTTAGATATTTTGATACCCATTTTCAATTATCTTCTGGCAACTCTGTATTATGTTTATAATATGCGCAGCTACATAATATAAAAGTCTTTATAGGCTAACAAAATATTTTGCGTTGTCATTTATGTTTACAATTTTTTTTTTCAAATTCTAAATCATATATTAAAATAATTTTTAGAAATCTAGAATTATACATTTAAGGCATATAATATAGAATTAGAATTAATTAACCGGTTAGTTTTCTTTTTGAAATTCTGATAGTCATTTTAAAGAAAATTTTTACATAAATTATAATTATTCAAATTATAACAATAAGTATGTATGTATGTATTTATATGACAGAAAGTTTTACATATTATATTTCCGCCTTACTTGTTACAATGTAATATTGATATAATCTACATATTTGAATTCAATATTTTATGCCGTGTGTAAGTACTACAACTTTTCTGCGAATAATTCAAATCATACCATTTATTTTAAAATATTTTTTATATATGTAGAAATTTTAGAATTTAAATAAAAAATCTTGATTTATTAAAAAATATTATTGAGAATTGTAATTTAATAATAAATTAAATATAGAACTACTAATTCCAATGAACTTACTGTTAACTTACTAATGAATTGCGACTTAATAAATTAATTTAAATTTAATTTGAATTAAAAATTATAAGCAAAAAATTATTGTTTGCCAATTTTTCTTAAACAGTTAATGAAATTAACTTAAATTAAATTGACAGTGCTTTCAAATAAGAATTGTACCAAGAGAAGCGGGAAATGTATTTTGGCATTAAGCTTTCAATTAATATAACTGTTATACTATAATCACTTTTAATTATTTGACGAAAATTTCGAAAACTAATGCAAATTATTCTAAACTTATATAGGATCTAATGAAATATTTTGGCTACAATACCTAAAAAAAGTTTTTCAAATTTAAATTTTAATTTCATGAATACCAATTTTAATAAATATTAAATTGTTATACATATTTAAATATTAAATTTTTATTATATACTCACTTTTCATCCTTGAATTTTTCATGTAATCTTCTTATTGTATAAAACATTGCTTCAGTTTTAAATAAAAGTGATTTAAAATTACCAAAGCAAAGGAATGGTTTCTCATATGGTATATCTCGAACATCAAAATAATCATATTTTAATGTTATATATTTATATATTAAAAATAGTACTAAAACTACAAATAAGAAGGCCTCTATAACCCAACTCATGTTTGTCGAAAAAAAATCTTGAAATTTAATTTTATACTCAATAAATTTATTATTGTTTTTACTTTTACTTTTTTAAAAATTTTTTTAATAATTAATTCACTTGTTTTTTTTTCTGTTTATTTATTTTTTTTTTTATTTTTAATATCACAGATTAAATTAAACACGCCGTTTTTCCATAAAAACAAAATTTTTTGAATGTTCAGTGATCTACACTTTACTGTGAATATTCTCCAACTAGATTTTTTTAACTTATAAACTACCTATTATAAACATCAACTTACACACACAAACATATTCATATTATGATTTATACATTGTAAAAATACAGATAAAAAAAAAACAAAAAGAAGCTGACGCAATATCAATCTTATATCATATTAAAACTCAAAAAGTTTAATTAAAGTGATACTCGTACAACAAAAATATGAAGTAAGATAAAATAAAGCTTTGTCCACTTAATATTTAAGTGCATGTGAATATATTAACAACGAATTTGCGTTTTTAAAATGTTCTCCAAGAAATTTTGTGACACACCAGATGGGATTCCAAGTTTTACTTGTTCAATTACTGCCAGTAATCCCTCTCCCCCGATTCCAGAAGAAGTCAGGATTTCAAGACCTTTCAATTGCTATACCCAAGATCAGGTTATCAAAGTAGGAGTCATAATCAAAAATTTAAAATTTAAAAAATAATGAAATCGGAGCCGTAAAACTTTTCGAACAACTCAGCATCACTAATACAAGTGCGGTTTGAAATCCATTTACTCATTTTCCTTAAAAGGACAAGGCACATTGTATGTCTAAGCAAAAAATAAGACTGACAAAAATTTCAAAACACAACACTTTCATAACGGTATAATTATTGTCGTATTCTTATCGTTTTTACCGTATATGGTTACCGTATTTTAAAAAAACAAACTTTTTATTATATGTGAATGAATGTGCGGTAGTAATGAAAAAAAAACGATAAGATTGGAAACTATATTTCTCTACAATTTTTTTTTTAATTTAAAAATAATATAATTTGAAACTGAATTTAACAAACACAGGCTTTAGGCCTTAAAAAAGTTAATTTATAATATTATGTAATGCTTTCGTAGCTTTTGATTGTATTGGTGCAAATATTAAGCTTCATTTGAAGAGTCTACAAATTTAGCTAAGTACACATATTTCTTCTTCTCAAAAATAAATTGCATCTACTCCTGATAATACTATCACTATTATGTATATCACTTGCTATGGTAACAACACATACCATAAATAAAATTTTTCTTTTTTATATTTATTTGAGCTCACCAAAAAGAATCTTTCAAAAACTGGTTTTCTCCTTATTTGTAATTTTATTTTAACAATTTCATCATTTCCTTTTGACATATTTTTCGTTGAGATCTTTGAAATATTCCTCGAAATAATGAAATTAAATCACAAATCCAGATTGCAATAAGTAAAAACAAAAAATTATTCTCTTATATACGCAATTAAGTCCTCTTCCCATAAGTATGTCAAGTCTAACAAGATTTCAATTAAAGAAATTGATAAATTTAATCGAAATACAAAACTAGTAAAAACGTTTCAGCCGACTTCAGCTTAATGAGACTAAATTATACTCTACAGTCTATATGGCAATTCGCTTATAAAATCAAAACCTAGCGAACCAGCTGAATAAAATTTTTCGGATGTGTATGTCTCTAATTTGTCAATTCTGTAACGAATTTTATGGAGTTACCTCAACTAGTTTTTGAAATTAAAAGTAGATTTTAGAATTTAATGGCAGCTACATGAACCATTCAATGCTTTCCTCTAAAACTTCAAGGATGTAGACAAGAGCTATAATTACATGCAATAAATGCCGAATTTCGTACAGCTAGCATTGTTTACAAAACTTTCTATTAAGAACTTTATTAGTTTTTAAAATATTTTAAATAATCTTTAGAGTCAATCGTTAGAGTTATGAAACAACCCTCGGGACTCTATCTGGAAAGGAGAACCTGGGCATGTGTCTAAGCACCCATAAGTTGTTGCTACGCAAAGCGACAGTGGAGCGCACGAACCTCAAATGGGCTTGTGCATTATATTGACCCGACCATTGGTGCAGTGGTTATGGCACCGGCCCTATAACCGAAGGGTCTCGGGTTCAAACCCCGGTCAGGTCACTATAAAAATTATATTCAATATTATATAACTTAATATGCAATACGAGTACTAATAAATATTATACAAGTTATTTTCAAATATTCATAATATTCGATATTAAAGACTAAGAAAAATAAACAGTAAATATTAATAAATTGAAATATTTAATATAAATAAAAAACTACGGTAGGCTAGTCACCTACCTAGCTAACTCCCTATGACTATAGAAACTAGGGCATGATAAATATCATGCACTAGCCCTATACTCCTTATAGGAGTGAAGAAGGAAAAAAAAAAAAAAAAATTATTATTTTCGGAACAATTATTTTTTTTACTTCTCATGTCTGAACCAATTGATGATGTAGCATCACCTAAACGATTACTTGAAGTTTTCTGCTCTTTTATTTTACATGTACGAATATAAACATCAAAAAATTACCCCACAACGATTATTTCATTCAATATTATTTGTGAACGGTCTAATCCGTAATTTCGTACAACTGGTGTTGAATAATCACCTTCTTCTTCAACCAAGCCAATTTCTGCATAATAGTCACTTAATAACTTGCGCAAAGAACGAGATATTTCTTTGACGGGCGGATATCGGTGCTGTTAATAGGTTCTGACAGACCAATGTCTGATTGACAAACATGCAAATAGGATGGGCCGCCGCAAAACGATTTCTGTAAAAGTTGCTATGACGAGGAGGAGGAGGAAGTAACCCACCTTCTATGCTCATGTTGGGCATTGGCGGGTTGAAAGCAGAGCTTTCTTAAGTCTTACTTCTACGGCTGTGCTGCGAACTTAGCGGGTGTAAATGTTAGGGATCTTAGACAATTTGTGAGGAGTTCCGGCTGGTTCGAATGAGGGGCGGAAAAGGAAAGACCCGCGGTGCCACAATAGGCTTAGGTGGCCCATGTATACTCTTCGGTGGACCGCGAATATGCCAACTATCTGAATCCGTTTTTCGAATTGGTCCAACAACAATAGCCGTCCTTGACAGAAAAAAAAAACAATTTCTAAAAATTTGGTGAGGTTTATTTTTTTTGTTTGTCAGTAATCGTCCGAGCGGACCGACATATCTAAATCAACGCAGATCAAGCTATTAATATTTCTTTAAACAAAGTGTATACAAGTTCATACTGCAGAAGACTTATTTAACTTGTAACAAATTCCAAACCGAAGTAAACACATCCTTCGCTAATAGGGTATAAAAATAAATGTCGTTCAATCACTTGCAATAAATTTTACGATGGGGAGATGTATTAGGTGCACTATTGAAGTTAAAACAAAAGATGAATTAATCGATTTTGAATATTCACCACACTAAAATTTGAAAAAATTGGTCAAATTTTTTTGGGTTTCAATAATAATTTCCCATATTTGCTTCCCTTTAAATTTCAATTAATTTAAAATATTTTTCAAAATCAATAATTTTATTAATATAAGCAGTTAAATTTATAATATAAAAACTTTTATTATTTTCTGGAACAAATTTTTAACCAAAATCCTCCTTTTGGTTTGTACTGGAACTCACGCTCTTCCAATTGAATGGGAAGTATTGCTTTTTCTGATACTTCAAATTTAAATTGCGAAAGTAAATAGAACAAGATAGCTTTTGTTTCCATAAGAGCAAAACGATTTCCTATTCATTTAAAAATTAAAAGTGTTAAAAATTATCAATTTGAAAAATTCAATAATAATATAGATGATATAATAAAATATTACCAATACAATTCCTTGGCCCTGATCCAAATGGTACATAGGTATATGGCTTAATATTTTTCTTATTTTCTTCACTAAATCTTTCAGGATCGAATTTATCAGGGTCAGGGAAATTTTCTGGATCGAAATGTAAACCATAAACATTTAAAGTAAAAGCGTCTCCAACATGTATTGGAACTTCATACCCATCATCAACTTTTAACATGTACTCTTTATTACACTGACGATCGATAAATGGTGCACCTGGCCATTTTCTAAATGTTTCTGATACAACCATATCTAAATATTTCATACCTAATAAAACTTCATAAGTTAACGGTTTTCCATCTAAATTTTCACGAACTTCATCAATCTCAGATATTAATCTCTCTTGAATATCTTGGTTTATCATTAGTTCCATGGCGGCAAGGCACATTGTTGTACCAGTTGTTTCAAAGCCAGCCATAAAAAATCCAAAACATTGTGCAACAATTTCATAATCATTCCAATCACGTTTTCTATCAGCTGCTTTTCGAGCTTCCATCAAAATATTTATCATATCAGGTCGAACAATATTGTGTTCTTCACGATATTTCATTGCTCCCAAAACTAAATCTTTGAAATAATTTATGTGTTTCTTATCGAACAATTTCATACCAATTACCTAATAATATTCAATTATTATTGTTAACTAGACAGTTGAAAAAAAAACTCACCCGTGTTAAAATGTTGAAATTTACTAGCAAGAAAAATTTTAATGAAACCCAAGAATCAAAAGTATTCACTTTTTTCCCCATTCTATAAAATTCATTATCACGATCTACTAAAGAATTAACTTTAATACCAAAGGCACTTGTAGCGATCACATCATTTGTAAATCGTGTGAAAAAATCTTTTAAATCCAAATCCATACCATTTGGCTTATTTTTCAATTCTTCTTTTAAATATCTTACTGCTTCTTCACAACATTCACGAATTAAATCGAACATAATTCGCATCTTATTGCCAGTGAAAGCCGGTGTCAATGTCATTCTCATATCTTTCCATTTTTCATCACGCATTTGAAATATACTATTGCCAAACATTGGGTCATCCTGTTCAGTTAAAAACTTTCTATGATTAACAAAATGATCTGAATCCTTAATTGTGATTTGCTTAATCATTTCAGGATCTCTTAAAACAATCGACGGACCCAGTAGATCGAAAAGCCCATAGATTCTTTAATGATGCAAAAAAATAAAAATTAAATTAAAAAAATATTAAATAATGTTAAGCTACAAAAAAAAACAAGTTCCTAACTTGGTCGAAAGGCTAACGAGAGATCATTATAAATCTTTATTAATCCTTTATCTTAAATAGTAAGAGTTTGGTGTAAGGTATAATAAAGAACATTGCAACGGAACAGTTTAAAACGATCCCAAAAAATTGATTTTCATTAAAAAAATCTTATTTTATCCAAAACTTTGATGATTTTATAAAGTGTAGTATTAAAAAATACTTCAAAGCTTCGAGAATTACATAACTTTGAAATAAATACTACTACTCTCCGCATTTAATTTCCACTTGTTTTTTACATTCTTGAATAAAATATACACTTAATATATATACGTATGTGTGTATGTTTGTTAATCAAATCTACGATTAGATATTATTTATCGAGCTACTACATTTTTATTCTTTATAGTTCCGTATTGCGTAATATTTACGAAATAATATGCACAACTATTCATACATTAATAAATACACATACATATGTTATACATATTTACATTCTTTCTATATTCTAAGATATGCTGCCTTCTCATTCTCACATCAATATTAATCAAAACAATAAAGATGCAAAAATTATTTTTACTGATTTTTATAACAACATATTATGGGATGAATTAATAGGATACGTTGTGCACTCAAATGCGATAAAATGAGTCAGTCAGAAGTTCGACATTTAAATATTATGTCTGGCAGCAGATACTGCCTAACCGAAAATAGTACAAAATATATTTGCACAAAATTTTCTAGATCGTTGTTTGACATTCAAAGAGTTTTCGAATTTTATTATTAAATGAATCTTTGGCATATATAATATAACAAACCCCAACCAGAGTGCTCAGTTCTTCTAATAGCGACATAACCGTAATAGAATTTTTATAACAACACTCTCACGATCTCATTTTATCTGAGTACATGTTGTTGTCGAACAATATGAGTAAATTATTTTTGTTAATTGTATGTTAGGCGTTCTCGAAAGCAATTCTTCACTGGGACAGACAAACGGACGAACTTAAATAAATAAACTCAAAATTCAAGCTTTAGCAAGAATTCACATATAAATGTATATGTACACACATCTATCTATATCTAGATAGAACCTCCAATTCTTAACGCTACGAACGGAGTGATGAATTCGTAATAACCTTCCAACATATGATTACATATGAAATGGAAGAATGGGTAGAAATAATAAATAAAATAGATATTGATAAAGATGAAATATGTTTAGTGTAAAACGTTCCTTAATTATACCAAAGAATTTCATTTTATTAAATTTTTTTGTTTATAAAATAAAGCTGCATAAAACACTTAATATTAATTTTTTTTTTAAACTTCTCGACTCAATATGACTCAAAGTGTAAACGAAAATAATTGAACTAGGATCAAATTCAATATTCTGCCTACAGGGCACATGTATATGTATGTATAATCGGTATCTGTTTCCTTTCACTCACATTTCCGTTATTAATAAAATTTGCAACAAATTATAATCAACTTTACTTACTTTTCATCTTTGTATTTCATATGAATTCGACGTAGGGCATCGAAAATCGATTCACCGCCAAAAATTGTTCCCGGAAAATTATTAAACCAAAAAAATGGTCTTATATGTGGAATATTTTTCTTTTCGAAATAATCATGTCGTCTTGTTACAAATTTATACCCAATAAATAAAAGCGTTACTATTAATATCAAAATTTCTATCACAGATACCATTTTCTTTTTAAAGGTCTAAAAAACAATTAGTTAGAACAATAATATTGATAAACTAGATTTTTTTTTTTTATTTTTTAATTAAAACTTTCAAGCATTTATTTTTATTTTTTTTTTTCGCTTTTTAATTTTTTCTATTTAATTTAATTATTTATTAAACAGTATTCAACGACTTCTTAATTTAAACTAAATTAAAATTTTATTATTTTACTGTTTTTATTAAAAAAAAAAAAATACAAACAAATAATAAAAAATCTTATTATTAATTAAAGAATCAACCGTATTTAAGTATGAATGTATGCGTGTCAGTATAACCTAACATATTGTATTTCTGTGCTCTCTGAAAAAAAAAAGCAAAATTAATAGAACAGTTTGAATAGAAAATATTCTAATAGTATCGTAAAATTTGTAGCCATATATAGTGGTTGTACAGTACAAACTTATATTCCATTAAAGCTTAAAAACAAAGCTTTAAAATTGTTTGTTTTTCATCTAATAATGCTTGAAAAGTCATTATAAAATTTCATTCATTGTACAATTCATGCACATGCTTGTTTGTATATATATATGTATGTTCATTAATAAATTTTGCACATATTATATTTTTGGTCATGAACACAAATATAGCGCAGTTCTCGCTATATATCGCGATATACTGTGTTTATGAAAAGGCCTATTGTGTTAGTTTACACAAGTCTATTAATAAAAGTTTACTTTATAAGAAGTCGGTTGACCAAATCTCGATATTTCTGTACGAATCTATAAGATGTTTCTATTTTCATCCGAAATATCTAAATTACTTTAGTCACTGACCCGAATATGATCCCTTTAATTCGAACAATTTTTGATATACTCTGAAAACTGAAATATTGTCCAAATTACATGAAAATTTTCCACGAAATCATGTATTCCAACTGTTAATTACCATCTTAAAATACTTCATGTAAATATTTCAAAAAAAAATATTTTTTTTAATAGATTTTCCCTAAAAACATCGTCAAATTCTAAGAAGGAAACTTCTAGGCTAAAATATTTCAGACAAAATAAGATTATAGATTTAAAATTTATAAAAATACTTAAGTCCTCAACAATTGAGTGGAATTTAAATTAACACAACGTACGAGAGTCAATTAGTTTAGGCAAATGTTATTCTAGCCAAAATAGATATAAAAATAACAAACTTTGAATTAATTTCGAATTTTGAAATTTAAGATTACAAAATTATTTTATTGATTAAAAAAAAATAATAATAAAATACATATAAGTAACTTAATTCCTTAATCCAACTTTCAACCAGAAACCACCTTTAGGTTTTAATTGAAATGAACGTGCATCCAGTTCAATTGGTAAAACAGTCTTTTTAGATCGAACGAATTTAAATTCTGATAGCAAATAATACAAAATTGCTTTGATTTCCATAAGAGCAAATCGATTACCTTTACAGTGAAGAAATATCCAAATTAAAAAAAAAATAGATGTAAATAAAATTGAAATAACTTAAGTAATATTTTTTCTTACCAATACAATTTCTTGGACCAGATCCAAATGGTAAATAAGTGTATGGTTTAATATTATTCTTATTATCTTCACTAAATCTCTCAGGATCAAATTTCTTTGGATCTGGAAAATTTTCTTCATCATAATGTGAACCACAAACATTTACTGAAAAAGCTTCCCCAATATTTATTTTAATTTCACGTCCTTCATCCACTTTCAAAATATAATCTTTATTACATATACGATCAATAAATGGTGCACCTGGCCATTTTCTAAATGTTTCTGATACAACCATGTCCAAATATTTCATACCTAATAAAATTTCATATGTAATTGGTTTACCATCTAAACTTTCACGTACATCATCAATTTCAGCAACTAATTTTTCTTGGATATCTTGATTTATCATTAATTCATATGCAGCAAAGCACATTGTTGTACCAGTTGTTTCAAAACCAGCCATAAAAAATCCAAAACATTGAGCAACAATTTCATAATCATTCCAATCACGTTTTCTATCAGCTGCTTTTCGAGCTTCCATCAAAATATTAATCATATCAGGTCGGACGATATTATGTTCTTCGCGATATTTCATTGCACTCAATACTAAGTTCTTAAAATAATTAACATGTTTTTTATCGAACAAATTCATACCGACCGCCTAAGTGATAAAAATTATAAATTTTTATTTTTATTATTAAGTTGTCAAATTTTATTAAACTTGGCAACTATTTATCAAAAATATTCTGTTAAATTTACTTACTCTTGTAAGATACTTAAAATTTGTTTGCAAAAAAAATTTCAATCCAACCCAACCATCAAATGTATTAATTTTTTTCCCCATTCTATAAAACTCGTTATCACGGTCAACTAATGAATTTACTTTAATACCGAAGGCGCATGTTGCAATCACATCATTTGTAAATCTTGTAAAATAATCTTTTAAATCCAAATCCATACCATCTGGATTTCCTTTCAATTCTTCTTTTAAATATCTTACTGCTTCTTCACAACATTCACGAATTAAATCAAACATAATTCGCATCTTATTGCCAGTGAATGCCGGTGTTAATGTCATTCTCATATCTTTCCATTTCTCACCACGCATTGTAAAAACACTGTTACCAAACATAGGATCATCTCTTTCTGTTAAAAGTTCCCTATGATTCATAAAATGATCTGAGTCTTTAATTGTTACTTGTTTAATCATTTCTGGATCTCTCAATACTATCGAAGGTCCAAAAAAATCAAAAATCCCGTATATTCTGCAAATATTATATAATGTGCTTAAACTTAATTCACTATTAACAAAATTATAACTTGAGGCCGTAAATGTAAAATAAGAAATTAAAACTTAAGATAAATTAAAACATAATACATACTTTTCATTTCTAAACTTATTGTGAATGCGGGACAATGTATCGAATACAGATTCACCTCCAAAAAATGCTGCAGGAAAATTATTAAACCATAGAAACGGTCTTATATGTGGAATATTTTTTTCAACAAAACAGTCATGCTGTCTTGTCATGAATTTATAAAAAACAAATAAAAATGTTGCCAGTAATATCAAAATTTCAGCTATAGAAAACATTTTCCCAATTCTTACGATTTCACAAAAAATAAATAGAATTACGCAATGATTTTATTTTTCTACTTATTTTCTTCCAAAAAGGACGATCGCAAACAGTGAGAGTTAAACTTAAACTAAAATTCTAAGTTCTAACTTTTAATTTTTTTTAAATTTTGTGACTGTTATCATAAGAATGGGTAATCAATACATAGGCTTGTGAGTGTAAAAGCTAAAAGCTTATTTTCAAGTTTGCTTTTATTTGTGTTGCGTTTTTCTAAATATTTGTATAAGAAACTACTCGTATATTTTATAGCCGTTTTTTTTGATGCACTGAAGTATAACTAATTTTTACTAAATTTCTTGAAGTATTCTTTATCAAAATTATCTTAACTTAATCTATTTGCAGAAATCTTTGGCATCAAAGTTATATACAAGGTGCCTGTAACTCGATGTTGGTCTCAAAGTCATTTCTACTTGATTTAAATTCATTTTTTCGCCTCATTCTTGAGATGTTATGAGTTGTTTAACTTTGGAAACCTCTTGAATTTCGATTATCTTTATTAGAACGACAATATCCTGAGCTTTGAAAGGGTGTTTTTAAAGCCGGCATTAAATGTAATAAATATCTTCTAAATCATAAAGTAGAGTGTAAACAAAAGCTTTTCAAAAAACTTTTAAGAAAAAAAAGTAACCGATTACCTCGAAAAAGAAAGCAGAAAAGTGATAATGTCGCCTTTTGTGTGATTGCTCTACTTCCCGCTTAAAGAACATCACTGATTCTCAAACATTTTGCATATTTCAAATTACCTAAAATTTTCGTGTCCAATTTTGATAACCTTATATATATTTCAATACTAGCAATATATTCCTCCATAATTTACTTATGTATGCATGCCCATACCAGGTAGAAGCACAGACATTGTTTTAAATAAAATAAAAATTCTAATTAAATTATTAGCATTTGGATCACCGCAATTTTCAATTATGTATTTTTAATTTTTTAATCTCAGTGATAAGCGATAAAGATATTTAAGGGCATATAGATGATAAAAAATTTCGTTAAATATGTCATTATCAAAATTTTAAACACTTGATGATTAATTAAAATATGATTAAATAAGGCATATATTTTATGAAATTCGGATCTTTTCCAATATAATTAACTTTATGCTTAATCTTAAAAACAACAACTGAATATTTAAAACTCCTCTTTTATTCTACTTTAAAGAAGGAGTGCAAATACCATCTTCAATAAGTCGAATATAATCGTTTGTTAATACATCTAATTGACAATAATTTTATTTATAGAGTCGTATGAATGTTGTTCTAAAGCAATTCATTGTTCTGATAACTTCTGAAGCAATTCATTCAGTATTTGGAAGGATATTACGAGGGTTGACACGACAAACATTTTTTTCTCGCTCCATTTTTTAATATTTTTTTATGTTTGTTCAGAATTAATTAATAATGACTTTTGTCTATGAACTTATTAACAAAATTCGTACAATCAAAAATCCTGGGGCTATACTATATAATTAGATTTTCGTATTTGCAAAAATGGAAAGGCAGTACCAAACAAATTTATTGGTGTGCCTTATCATTTCTCAAAATACGAAAATCGTTTAACGAAAATCGAATTACATGTTAAGGTGTCCTGGATATCAAACAAAATGTAGAGCATCAATAAAGTATCAATTATTTTAAGTAGAAACTTCCCAAATAACGAAAATATTTAAAATTTCGACAACAATCTCCACGTCAAATTTAAATACTATTTTTAGATATCGTAATTTCCAAAGTAAATCAACATTGATCACAATAGACCTACTGAATATTGCAGACTTTGTACATTTTTTCCCATTTTTATAGGATTTTTTATTAAAAGAACATTGATCAAGCTCATTTTTTTGCAATTTTTCCAATTAAAATATTAAATTCGTAAATTTGTGTTTATTTAAGGGTGTAGAATAAATGTGATTACTGGGGGGGTTAAGAAGTAAAATTAGAAATAAATAAATAAGTAGATTGTAATTAATAAAAAAGACAAAAATAAATTTTAAATAATTTTAATATTACAAACATACGCTTAAGATTGATAGTTTATTAATTATAATCAATCGTTTCTTAAACATATTCTTGACCAAAATCCACCTTTAGGCTTAAATTGTATTCCTTTCTCTTCTATTTTGATTGGTAGTATAACTTTTTCTGACATTTCAAATTTAAATTCAGCTAATAAGTAATAAAAAATAGCTTTGATTTCCATCAATGCAAAACGATTACCTAAATCATAAACAAGAATAAATTTTAAGAGAACTACTTACTTACACAAGTATACGAATTAAACTTTACAAAAAATATTATTAAGGCATACCTATACAATTTCTAGGACCAATTCCAAATGGTAAATAAGTATTTGGTTTAATATTTAATTTATTTTCATCACTAAATCTTTCAGGATCAAATTTATCAGGATTAGGAAAATTTTCTGGATCATAATGTAAACCGAAAACATTTACTAAACAAGAATCACCTGGTACTAATGGAAGTTTGTAATCGTCACTAATATTTAATGTATAATTTTTATTGCATACACGATCAAAAAATGGTGCACCAGGCCATTTTCGAAATGTTTCCGAAATAACCATGTCCAAATATTTCATACTCAATAAAATTTCATAAGTAATTGGTTTTCCATTTAAATTTTTACGAACATCATCAATTTCAGTCATTAATTTGCTTTGAACATCTTTATTAGTCATTAATTCAATTGCAGCAAAACACATTGTAGCACCAGTTGTTTCGAAACCAGCCATAAAAAATGCAAAGCATTGAGAAACAATTTCATAATCATTCCAATCACGTTTTCGATCAGCTGCTTTTCGGGCTTCCATTAAGATGTTTATCATATCAGGTCGAACTATATTGTGCTCTTCACGGTATTTCATAGAATCCAATACTAAACGTTTGAAATAATCAACATGATTTTTATCAAATAGTGTCATTCCAATAGCCTATATAACGAAATAAACAATCTGTTTCATTAAAATTTTAATATTTTTATCCTAAATATTTTTAATATTTACCCTAGTAATTGGTTTACAATACATTTGAAAAAGAAATTTAATTCCTTGCCAAAAACCAAAAGAATTAATTTTTTTCCCCATAATATAAAATTCATTATCACGATCAGCTAAAGAATTAATTTTAATTCCAAAAGCACATGAAGCAATCACATCATTTGTAAATCGTGTAAAATAATCCTTTAGATCTAATTCAATACCATCTGGTTTATCTTTTAATTCATTTTTCAAATATTTAGTTGCTTCTTCACAGCATTCTCGAATTAAATCGAACATAATACGCATTTTATTTCCAGTGAATGCTGGTGTTAAAGTTGATCTCATATCTCGCCATTTTTCATTACGCATCGAAAATACACTATTACCAGCCAATGGATCATCTTGTTCAGTTAATATTTCCCGACGATTCATAAAATATTCAAAATCTTTTATCATTACTTGTTTAATCATTTCTGAATCAGATAATACAATTCCTGGACCTCCAATACCAAATATTCCATAAACTCTGTATAAATCAAAAAAAATTTTTTAGAATTTTTTGAATTTTAGAAAATTTGTCTTTATTATTGAACCTTCAAAATATTTATTTAAGTTTATTAATTATATACAGTGAAATCTTTATATGACTAATACCCAAAATCTTGTCAATAATACAAATATTTCGTAATAACTATAAGGTATTACTAAAAAATATTACACCAAAAATAATTACATCTGTTGAACAAATTGTACATTAATTATGTATTTGCGCTCTATGGAGAGGTTGTCATGTATATAGAGTTTTCACTGTACTTGTACATATGTATTTAACATTAAAATACATATACAAATTATTAACATTTATTAAATATAACTTACTTTTCATTTTTAAAATTCATATGAATTCGACGTAAACTATCAAACATTGATTCATTTCCGAAATACATTCCCGAAAAATTATTAAACCATAAAAATGGTTTTATATTGGGAATATTTTTCTTATCAAAATAATCATGATCTTTTGTTATAAATTTATATAAAATTAGTAGTAACGTTACTATTATTAATAAAATTTCTATAAACATTGTTTTATTATTTTACAATCTGGCCGCGTTGACCCTTAACATACCTGTTAGCACTCTAAAAATTTACTAAATTGAATAACATTCTATGTATTTAATTATATATACTGAAATACTGGCACTATAAACGGGAGAGTTTGTTCTCAAAAAGCTCCCTTAAATATACATGCAAAAGAGCGAATTTAATTGTTTGAATTGAGGGTGAGAAGTTAAAAGCTACTTAAATTGCTATCTTTACTATTAAAATTTGACTTATACATACATATGTATATATTATTTATGTTTTAAATTTTTAATTAATTACTATTGTAGCTAATTATGTTGTTAAAGTTCAGAGGCAAATGATTATTGAAATTCACATTTGGAATTTATTAATCTACTCCAATAAATCCAATCAATCAATTTTTCATACAGGCTTTATCGTTATGTAAAAAATAAATATAAATTTGACAATAAATCAATATATGTAATATTAAATATTTTATTGTAAAAACATATTCAAAATGTTCAGTAACAGTAAGCTTACATTTATCTAATTAATTTCTCGAACATATTTTCAACCAAAATCCACCTTTTGGCTGTAAATGAAAAACACGAGTTTCAAGTTCAATTGGTAGTCTTGTCTTTGTTGATAATTCGAAATTAAATTCAGATAATAAATAATATAGTATAGCTTTAATTTCCATGAGTGCGAAACGATTTCCTATAAGGACAAAATTGAAATCAAATTTTGAAACTTAACTATTTATTCTGTTAAAACAAATTCAAATATTTACCAATGCAATTTCTGATTCCAGATCCAAATGGTAAATATGTATACGGTTTAATATTTTGTTTATTTTGTTCACTAAATCGTTCTGGATCAAATTTTTCAGGATTAGGAAAATTTTCTGGATCATAATGTAATCCAATTATATTTATAGTACAAGATTCACCAATTTTAAAAAATATCTCATGATCTTCTGAAATTTTTAAAATATAATTTTTATTACAAACTCGATCAGTTAATGCAACAATTGGCCATTTTCTTAATGTCTCCGATACAACCATATCTAAATATTTCATATTTGATAATATTTCATAGGTTATAGATTCTTCTTCTTTTAAATTTTTTCGTACATTATCAATTTCATTTCTTAATTTTTCTTGTATTTCAAGATTAATTGTTATTTCGTATAAAGCAAAACATAATATCGTACTAGTATTTTCAAATGCACCCATAAAAAATCCAAAACATTGTGCCACTATTTCATAATCATTCCAATCACGTTTACGATCAGTTGCTTTTCGAGCTTCCATTAAAATATTAATCATGTCTGGTCTTATTATATTATTTTTTTCACGATTTTTCATTGAATCCAATACCAAATTTTTAAAATATCCAATATGTTTTTCACTAAATAAACGAACACCGAAAAGCTAAAGGGAATAAAAATTTCGATTATAAAACTTATTACCAATAATTATTATTTAATTATTTTATTTATTTATACATATATGTTTGTGTACTTACTCTCGTTAAAGGTCTAAAATAATTTTGAAGAAACACTTTAAGAGCTACACTAAAATTTAATGTATTAATCTTTTTACCCATAACATAAAATTGATTTTCACGATTAATTAAAGAATTTACTTCAATACCAAATGCCGCTGTTGCTATTATATCATTTATTAAACGAGTGAAAAAATCTTTTAAATCTAAATCCAATTCATTTGATTTATTCTGTAATTCATTCATTAAAAACTTATTTGCTTCTTTACAACATTCTTGAATTAAATTAAACATAATTCGAATTTTATTACCAGTAAATGCTGGAGTCAATGTTGTTCTCATATCTTTCCATTTTTCATTACGCATAAAAAATATATTATTTCCAATTATTGGATCATCATCTTCAGTAAATAAAGTTCCATGATTCATAAAATATTCTGAATCTTTAATAGTTATTTGTTTAATTATATCTGGATCACGTATAACAATTCCATGGCCCATAATATCAAACATTCCATAAATTCTATATAATACAAAATTAAATTAATTTTAAGTAATTTTATTAAACAAAACAAAAATCAATAACAATGTTTCCTTACTTTTCATTTCTAAAATGCATATGAATTCGTCGAAAACCATCAAAAATAGATTCAGTTCCCAAAATAATTCCTGGGAAATTATTGAACCACAAGAATGGTTTAATATGCGGTATATTTTTTTTTAAAAAATAATCATGTCCTCTTGTTACAAATTTATATAAAATAAATAAAAGACTGATTATTAAAATTAGAATTTCTGTTAAAGAAATCATTTTGGAAAAATTTTGATGCGCAAATCAAATTTATTACCGAATATCAAGAGCAAAATTTAATACTAAAACAGATTACAAAGCAAATTAAACTTTTTCTCCACTACTTTTCATTTAATTGAGAATATTTTGTTACGGAGAAATTAATAGTATATCTAATAATTTTTGGAATCTGAATCCCGTAACTCTTATGTAAGTCATAGTATATAGATATGTTTTAAGAAAATATACATAAATTAAGGCTAAAAATACGTATACCTAATTATTATATACATAGATTGTGTAGAATAGTTGAATAGAATAATTAATATGAAATTTGTAATTTAATTAAGACATTAGATTGAGTTGTACATACAGAGAGTTGAATATTTTCGCTGTTTCTAAAGCAATTTATTTATTAGATAGTTAATAAATAATGTGAGAAAATTTTCATTCTACAACTTAGTACTTCAAATTTTCTAACAAATAATGTCAATCTCAATTAAATTATTTATATTTAATTTTATTTATTTAGGAATTTCTTAAAATTTTCTAATCCATAAATAAGTATAGTTTTCACATCGGTCGAGTTTTTATCATAATGAAAAAATCATAGTTAGAGTGAAAGAATGAATGTTTGTCCTACTAAACCAATTAAATAGAATTTGATTCCAAAAATTTTTGAGATACCATGGGATTTGTCCGAATCATGAATTGTCGACCGCATAAGATAAAACTTTCATTAATCTCGCTATAAAAATCGCAAAACAAAAACAGAATATAACAAAATAAAAAATTTGCCAATTTTCCAAAAAAATTTTTTGGAATTCGGATTATAGTTTATAATTGTATGTTATACGATCAAATTGCTACAAAAGTTATTTTATAATGTGTATCAGAGAAATAATTTATTATTAGAAAAAAAAAATTTTAAACACTAAAAACAAAAATTTTAAATTTAATTTTCTTATTAATTGAATGACACAAACTACGAATAACAAATTTTTTTTTTTTTCGCAAAAATTACAAAATTTAAAATTCATCAAACTTTTAATTTCTTGGATTAATTTTCAACCAAAATCCTCCCTTTGGTTTTATTGAAGCTTCACGTGAATCTAATTCAATCGGTAAAACAGTTTTTGATGAAATATCAAATCTAAATTCTGCTAGTAAATAATATAAAATAGCTTTCATTTCCATTGTCGCAAAACGATTTCCTAAAATATTTAAAGAACAATCATAAGCATTTAAAAACATTTTAGAATTGATGATTTAATATTACCAATACAACTGCGTGGCCCAGATCCAAATGGTAAATAAGTGTATGGCTTAACATTTTTCTTATTTTCTTCATTAAATCTCTCTGGATCAAATTTTTTTGGATTAGGAAAATTTTCTGGATCATAATGTAATCCAGAAACATTTAATAAAAGTGCATCACCGATATCAATTGGAATTTCATGATTTTCGTTTACTTTTAACATATATTTTTTGTTACAAATACGATCAAAAAGTGGTGCTCCTGGCCATTTTCTTAATGTTTCTGACATAACCATATCTAAATATTTCATACCTAATAAATTTTCGTATGTAATTGGTTTACCATCTAAACTTTCACGTACATCATCAATTTCAGCAACTAATTTTTCTTGGATATCTTGATTTATCATTAATTCATATGCAGCAAAGCACATTGTTGTACCAGTTGTTTCAAAACCAGCCATAAAAAAACCAAAACATTGTGCTACTATTTCATAATCATTCCAATCACGTTTACGGTCAGCTGCTTTTCGAGCTTCCATCAAAATATTAATCATATCAGGTCGAATGATATTGTGTTCTTCACGATATTTCATTGCATCTAATACCAAATTTTTAAAATATTTAATATATTTTTTATCAAATAAATTCATTCCAATAGCCTAAAAGAGAAAAAAAAAATTTTATATTTTGAATTTGTTTAAAAATTCATAAATTTTTTTTTCCAAATAACTTACCCTTGTAAAAGTTTTAAAATTAACCATTAAAAAGAATTTTAGACCAGACCAAGTGTCAAAAGTACTAATTTTTTTACCCATTCTATAAAACTCGTTATCACGATCAGCTAACAAATTTACTTTAATTCCAAAAGCACATGAAGCAATCACATCATTTGTAAATCGTGTAAAAAAATCTTTTAAGTCTAATTCAATACCATCTGGTTTATCTTTTAATTCATTTTTCAAATATTTAGTTGCTTCTTCGCAACATTCGCGAATTAGTGAATGCCGGTGTTAATGTCATTCTCATATCTTTCCATTTTTCATTACGCATTGTAAAAACACCATTTCCAAATAACAAATCATCTTTTTCACTTAACATTTCTCGATGATTCATAAAATGATCGGAATCCTTAACAGTCACTTGTTTTATAAGTTCTGGATCATTTATTACTATTGACGGACCAATAAAATCAAATAATCCATAAACTCTAAATCGAGGGTAAGAAAAATTAAAATAAAAAGGACATTATTATATTTTTATATAAAAGTTTTTCATATATTGAATACTGAAACCTGTAAGTTGCAATTAAGCAGGGGTGCGGAAGTTAAAATTAAAAAAATAACAGAGAAAATATTAAACTTTTGTATGCTTAAGGTGATCTTGTGTGACATTGACTTATTCAATAATTTAATTCACAATAATAAAATTTCAATTCACAAATACCTGCAAGCTATTCCTAATATAAAAAATAATTTAATTTTTCTGTTTTACTCACTTTTCATTTTTGAATTTCATATGAATCCTAGTTAATGTATCAACAAAATGTTCTTTTGCAAACAATGGAAAATTATTTATCCATAACGATGGTTTTATACATGGAATTTTCTTTTTAATAAAATAATTATGATGTCTTGTTATAAATTTATAAAAAATAAATAAACATGTTAAAATTAATATTAAAATTTCAATCAAAAATAACATTTTTGCTTATTTTAAAATTATTTTTAAAAATAATTTCAGATTTTCACACAAAATTTATTATTAGAAAACTAGCGTCATACAACAGACCGACTAATCAAATTTACAGCAGCTTGATATTTTTTTAACTCTAAACAATAATATTTTATTGAATATTTTATTTTCAATTGAAACTGTTATATATATGTATGTACGTAAAACAAATACATACTTAAATGCACTTCAAAATTAATTCTAATCAGCTGTAAATATATGTAAGTATATACCTAATATGTATATGTATAACAATCGATAGAAAGCTTATAAATCATATCTTAACTTCTTATACAGTTTATATAAATTGTAGTTAATTTGCAAATTATAGGATACTGTAACGAAAAGCAGTATAGTATAAAAATTTTAATCAAAGTAAAATAAATTTCAATTTAATTAAAATTGTGCATCGAAATTAGAAAAGAATTTTTTGTATAAAATTATGAAATTTTTAATGGGCTAAGTCCATTTTTCTCAAAAAAAAAAAACACTTTATAAGTAATATCCTAAGTCAGTTGCGCGATGAACGCGAACGCAAATTAATCTCATCTAAAATTAATAGAAATGTTTTTTTTAGCCTCTTACAAGAATTTCAATAGAAATTAAGTTTAAATGTACCTTTTATTTGATAGCAAATTTCATGACTCAGGATAGTTTTGTTTTAGAGTCTAGACAGATGATTTAAAAAAAAAATAATTTTTTAACTTTATTTAAAAAGAAGTTCAACTCGGAAGTGAAACGAATTAAAAGCAACTCTCACTGTTAAAATTATAAAACTCTTTTGCTTGTCAACCAACTTATTCGACAATCGAATTGCATTTTTAATAATTTTTCTCTTAATCACTAATGATTAAATAATGTGATTGTGAAATACAGTGAAAATATAATATCGTCGGTTAAGAAGCAGAAAGCATTAAGTCAGGAAACCGTGTTTTGAGTAAATTCAATTTGAAAAAATCGTAAAATTTGTAAAACTAATCAATTAGTGCAATGGGATCAATTAGTGCGGTCTCTTTAGTTTCTAAACTATGTTCTGGATTTGCATGATTTTTTGCCACAACAAAGAATATATTTTACTGATTAAATTCATCTGGATAATTCGAATTCTCAAAAAATGCAAATTCTTTTTAGAATTTGCAATTTATATTTAGAATTAGAACAAAATTGCCCATATTTTATAA